CCTCTTCAGGAGGACTTTCTATGGGAAACTTGCCTGTATTTAACTATTAGACACATGAAGAAATCCCAGAAAACTCCATGCAGCCAGTTCATGATGAGGTGTTCCAGTGTTAAGTGGTTGTAGCAATTGGTCATTGATGGATTCCACCAAATGAGACTGATTTTGTTCTCTTTTTCTTGATCTTTCACTTTGTTCAAATTTACAACAAATAAGAGAACTAAAAGAAGTTTAATAAAATTTTAAAATTTCAATGCAATCATTAATTGATAACAGATGGTTTGGTAGGAAAATGGCAATCTGCCTATAGGAAGGATTTTCTATGGTAAACTGGTTCCTGTTTAGATGTTACAAATGTGAAGAAAACATGGAAGAAAACTCTACATGGCCAGCCTACTGATGAGACACAAATCTGCAACAAATGCCAATGTTCAGTGGTTTTATCCACTCAGCCACTGGTGGGCTTCCATTAACTGATAACCAATTAAACTTTTCATCTTTTGCAATCATTGACTCTTACTACCCAAGCTACTAACAAAGACTTTATAACAAAATCTTCCATAATTATTTGTGGTTTGAAATGCAAAGTTACACTGATTAAAGTCTAATTAGTCCCTTACATTATATCTGTCCAAATTTCACCATATGTATTTCTAATGGCATTACTATATTATCTAAATAATATATCTTGTTTTTCTTATAATCTAACTCAAGAGAAAAATTGCTGGCATGACATCCACTGTATGTATTTAAATTTTCTTATAATCTTTTAAGATAATGATGTAAACTCTTGCCATTTTTGTTGAATCTATTTTTATTTCATAATATACAAAAGACTGAAAAGCTTCTCTTAAGCCTTTAAATCCTCAAATTATATTATTTTTGCATATAAAATTGTTAAATTTATTTGACAATTTTCTATTCAGTTATTCTAAAATAAAATATTTTATTAAAAAATAAATAAATAATAATAGAAGTAATATCCTTGCTAAAAATAATTATCTATATCTATATAAATATATATAAAAATGGATATGTATGTCCCTATATTTCACTTTTCCGCCAAAACTACACATCGCACGTGAATAGTGTTTGTATGTGGTAGTAGCCCCAAGTCTCCATTCGTGCATAGGGGTGGTTGTGTCTCGATAGCTATAAGGGTGCGGGAGATATGGGCTTAAAAGTGGTTGAAAGTGGCTTTCTATTTCGAATGTTTTGTTCGAATTTAATTCAATGATGTTCGAATTTGTTCGAACAAATTCGAACAATATTCAAATTAAATTCGAACATAAAATTCGAATATTGGTTCGATTATAGAACTATCGTAAACGTTCCAGAAACATTGAAAATAGTGTTCCAGAAACATTGAAAATAGTTCATTTGATTGGACATGAACAGGAGACGTTCAGAAATAGAATCGGGACCAGGAAGTGTTAATATAAAGCGGCATGCAAGATTTACAGGCGGTTTTTTGCGCTTTTGCGGGAAATCGAACATATTTTTATGCTCATGTAAAAATTCTCTGAAAACGTCTGGAAACAGGAGACCTAATTCTTGCATTTTGTAAAAACGGGTAAGATTGGCTATAATGTAATTATCTTAATCTTCACTATCGTTACTTTTTGCCCACAAATAAAAACCCAGCGAAGCGGGTCCTTGCAGCTAGATTCTAGATTACTTAGAAAAACAGTCTTTTATATATATAAAAAAACTATATTACATACAAATGTATGAACAAATAAAAACCCAGCGAAGCGGGTCCTTGCAGCTAGTATTTAAATAAATTCTTAACAGTTTTAATTTGTTTAAAGATACAATTTTAAAAGAATTAACAAAAAAAAATGTTTTAACAAATTTTAAAACTTGTTACAATTGCTTTTTCAAATTTTATTTCATAAAACATATGAAAGATATACAAATACAGTCGACCCCCTATAACACTGTTGATTTTTCCGTTTTATATGAATTTCATGTTGTACGAGTCACTTAGATTTTACAAATACCCGTGCCAGGCTGTGAATGGCTCACGTATTTGTAAAATCTAAGTGACTCGTACAACATGGAATTCATATAAAACGGAAAAATCAACATCTGCAAGTCCATTAATTGTATTAAAGACATATACAGTACATGTAGTTAAAGATAAGGCCAGACTTAAAGATATAGCCGTTAAGGAAGAAAGGGGGGATGAGGTAGTGAGAGAAAGGAGAAGGTTTAGGATGGGAAGAGGAGGGAAATGGTAGGGAGGGACAGGGATAAGAGAAGGGCCCTCCCTTCTCTTATCCCTGTCCCTCCCTACCATTCTCCTCCTCCTTATTGATTTAACAAATGACATAATTAATTCCACATTAGTTGGGTATACAAATATACAATAGGGAGGCAATATATTAAAGACAAACAATTGACAGATTAGATCAGGCAATATTATTGCTACTATTAATAATTAAATGCTAAGTAATTTGGCCTAGAGATAGGCATTAGGCACCATCTCTTATTAAATTTAATAAGAGATGATGCTAATGACTAACTCTAGGCCAAATTACTTAGCATTTTAATTATTAAATTAATTTTGATAAAATTTTTAAACAGTAGTTGAAAGTGAACATAAATTGCTTTAGAGAACTTATCACACAGGAACTCATAGGTAATTGATCAGACAGACTTTATTAACTAAAAGAACAAAAATGTATTTGCCCTATCAGTCCTATCTTTTACACATCTGGAGAAATATAATTTACATTGTAGGTGACAATTGGATGATTAAAATAAATAAAACTAATAAAAACTGTAAAATCTAAAATATAAAAAATTAAGAATAAAAATCATGATAAAATAATATGATACAAGTAAGATAAAATATTACTAAAAACATGTAAAACACGAGTGAAAATGCAACATTCTGAATATTCATTTTAACTCATATGTTTTCTCCAAACTAATGTTATGCCCACTTTCAACAATCTTAAAGAGAACAATAAGCAATCAAATACTATTACAATCTCTCTACACACCGGTAAATATAAATAAAATACTCCTCAAACCTATCCATGTTGTTGTATCCATGGATGTAATACTCTAGTCGAAAATTTGTCTAAAAGACATGAGGTTTCCCAAAAACCCATTGATCAAACAGGGCCACCATTGAATATACATGAGGAAGAAAAAGAGAGGATGCCTATCACATATAATCCAATACTGAAATCAATCTACAACATGATAGCCAAACGACGAGGCATAAATATTGCATACAAGTGTCCCTGGAAGTCCTATACTTTATCTGCTGCACATGTCAAAGACTTCTCAGCAGAACATATACCCAAGAAAAAACATGATAAAAACTTGTAAAAACTATATATCAAAACCTGTAAAGTTAATAATAAAATAACCGGACAATAAAGAAATATAAAGAATCTAAACCCTATATACACTTCTAAAATTCATCCTCTCTAAAAACATTTCGTGTAAAATTTTAAAAACCCGAATATATCTTAAAGAATCAGTTACGAACCGATGCAATGAGTTTGCAAAATTAGAATTCCCTTGTAAATAAATACATTTCTGACGAATATGCTGCAAAAATGGACATGTGAACACAAAATGCTCTAACGTATCCTCTAATCCACATTCACAAAGATTATCACTAACCAACCCAAAAGTATATAATTTGGCCCTAAAATCGCCATGACCAGTAATTACTTGACTTACAAAGAAGTCAGGTTGCACCCAATGTGCCCTGAGTCGTTCCGAGACAGTTGGAAAATATATAGCAGTCACTCTTCCCTTATCGGAAGCTATCCACCTGTTATCCCATTCTATGTTCAACTGTTTCCTAATCAATCTCCGAACTACCGTTTCCCTTAAACCAAAACAATCTGTGGGATAATTCAAACTCCCAATAGTGAAAGGAATATCTGCACGCATTAACGATTTAAAATATGCTAAACGAACTTCTAAATCTAAGGGTAGTTCACCTGCAAGAACTTGCAATGCCATTGCCGAGGTGGTTCGGTAAGCCCGTGTAACCATGAGTAATACTACTCGTTGTGCTTTTAAGAGTTTCCTCTTGTGAGAGGGGCCCAGCACGCCGCCCCACACACCAGCGGCATAGGTGACAATGGAGACAAACAGTAGCCTGTACAAGGTCCTCAGGGAGGGAAGCCGCAGCCCCCACCCCGAGCCCAACAGACTCTGCAGTCTACAAAAATGAGCCACAGCTTTTGTTGTCACCTCTTCAACATGGTCAGAAATACCTAATCGAGTACCAATGGTTATACCTAAATACCGATAAGACTGTACCATTTTAATAACGGCTGAAACATGTCAAACTGTTTTCAGGATACTAACTAATGACAAAGACCTGCCAAACCCTGAAAGGCTTCCAGGAGTATACACAGTACCGCTAGAAGATAACAGGTGCGATAGACAACTGACATATATTGGTTCCACGAAATGTTTGTTAAAAGTGAGATTAAAAGAACACGAGTCAGACATACAGCATGGTAGAAACACAACGGCCCTAGCAACATACGCTTCGGAACAGGAAATAACGGCGAACCTGCATGCAGCGAAAATCATTATAACCAACTCCAACTCACAACAACTAAAATGGATAGAAGCCATGGAGATATTTAAGGCGGGAATAAATGGTACGTATATTAATTATAAGGAGGAAATGGCCCTATCTGTAGCATGGCAGATTTTGCTGGATAACAGCATTTAAAGAGATGATTATGGAGCATGCGCAATACAACTATGGAACGATTTCACATGATAGTGTTCGGAAAAAATTCAGATCAAATGTTTATTTGAACAGTAACGGCCTATTCGATAAAGACTGAAGAAGAGTCCAGGAGGGGCAACGAAAATGTTTGCGATTCAAAAAATAGAAGCACTCTGGTTAAAATATTTGAGGAGTATTTTATTTAAATATTATTAAAAAATAAATCTGAAATATAGTAAAGAAATGCTCACATCATAAATTTTAATATAAGAAATTATTTTACCTTCTTTAGCTTTTTCATAACCATCAGGATTCATAGTTGGGAGGATGTGAATTCTAGTATTATCAACCAAGGAAGTAATTCGTGGAATTCGCTGATACCCTTCCGTAAGTAATTTAGCAAGTAAAAGTAGCATTTCCCTTCCAACCACTTCATTTCCGTGCATATTTGCAACATATTTAAACTCAGGTTCTCCTAAATAAAAAAAAATATTTATATTTTCTTATAGAATACTTTTGTTTAAAGGCAGATATTTTATTACCGATTTGTTTAAAATATTTTCAAACAACTTATTCCGTCAAATATTACCTCATGTTTCTGGTTCCATAGTATTATCTGTATTAAATGCTTACTTTCAGATATCCAATTGTTTACATTTTTCCCACAAAGGAATGTTTTCAACCTGTTTCAGGACAGCTTCAGTTGGAACAGTGACTTATGTTCATTAAAAAGCTGAAACTGTCCTAAAACAAAATGAAAACATTCCTTTGTGAAAAAAATTTAAACAGTTGGCTACCTGAAAGTAAGCATTTAATACAGATAACTTATTCCATTTCATATTTTGAAATTTATATGAATAAATACTATCTCATTAACGAAAAAAATACTATAATCTATTGCTAAAAAGACTTATCTGACTCAAATTCAAAAATAGCCACTAGCCTCTTTATCGAAGATTAAATTCTAGAAAATTTAATCTACAATAGAGGCTTAAACAATAATCCAAGTACTGTCATACTGACTATAAATCCATCTTCAGGGGTAAGCATATATAATTTACAAAATTTTATCTTTGTAAAATAGTTTTAATATCTAGAACTTCAGTTTGTATTTGAATGCATCCATTTGGGTTTGAAGAGATAGAATTTCTCTTCAATAGAAGTTCAAGTGTAAATGAACTGAATTTCTGAATGTTGAAACTACATTCTTTAAAGAAAATTTTGGAATAAACATGATAAGATTTTGTAAATCTTAATGTTTATTCCAAAAGACAAATTTGCAATGAGTCCAAAAATACTCTAGAAGTTGATTTCTAATAAAGCAGAGAGTATGTAGAATCTTAAAACTGGATATCTGTAATCATTATAATACCACAAAAACAATGTGCATGTGAAGCTCAATGAAGCCACTATTATCAGCATTTCCAGCATACCAACCACCTCAGAACACTGCAAGCACTCAAAATTCACAAATCAGAAATTAAAAACATGTACATAAACTTTAAAGAAGAAAAAAATGATTGCATTTATCATAGGTCAGGATAATCTGAAGGAAATATAGGATAGGAGTAATCCAGTTACAGTTAATTTTGCAAACACACAATTGTTTAATATTGAGTTTTTGCATATTTTTATTAATTTTTTTATTTCCTGTATTTCTTACAATAATTTACATTAATATAATTAATTATCAACCTTTGTATAATTTTCTATACTATGTGAAATTTATATATTAAGTTTAAATTTTATATCTTGTTCTTCTAAGCATTCCATGGCTAGAACATTTTAACCTGAAGAAGATCCGATTAGGATTGAAAACATATTTCAGTATACAGAGTCATCCGGTATTTGTCAGTATACATTGGAGCAATTGGAATACATGCTTCCCACTTTATCACCAGGTTGTCCTTTTCCTAATTCCCAAGGGAGCACTAAGGTTTCATTTTATTTTAAAATTAGTTATTCATTTTTATCACAGAAAACTTTTTACTGATGACAAAATTAAAATAAAAATATTTCTTATTAACCAAAAATTTGTTCTAGCAGGTCATGATTGTTCAGTTGAGTACTGAGATACCACTGTATTTGATTAATACAATTTTGATATATGTGGCAGCATTGAGGAATTAATTAACTGCATTAATAAAGAGATACCTGTATGTGTATATACAGAGTATATATAAATGATTGTAGCTCTCCACATTTGTAAGGCTGTATCCGCTGAATATTACCTAGTGGTAATATTCAGCGGATTCGCAAAGGATCAGCTGAACCCGTTGTTAACATTTTCAAAGTTTTCTGAACCTTGTTAAACACATGTAACATTTCTCAGTGGTTTTGTTTCTTTTAAAAAATATATTAAAATATATGTATTATACTCTGTAACACTACTAAACTAGAAACCTATACCCCTTTTGCCTTGGTGCGACCTCCCTCGACCATTTCAGTCGAGATTGAAATGGTCGAGGGAGGTTCAATCACGATTGACTCAAGAGAGTTCTTGAAACTAGATCCAGTCATAAGAGAGATCCCACAATCCCACGCACACGAGAAAATACAAGATGGCTGTGGAACATGTGTCGGGCTATCGACAGCGAAATAAAAAAGATATTGTATTTAGAGAGATAATGACATCTGTCTATTATTAGATATATTGCAAGAAAAAGTATTGTATTTATTTCTAACCAAAACTTCCATTATTTATAAAAAAAAATATAGTTCTGGCATAAACAATGTTAAATTTTAACTAACTTAATTTTGCAAATGAATCTTTTTTATTTATATGGGTATCTTAAGGTCAGTTTTTGCACTAATGTTGCTAATGCACCATTTGATCGAAAAAAAACTGTTAAGGAAAAATTTTCTGTTAGCGAACCCTTTGTTAAATATTTCGAATATCACCACTGACTGCACCCACTAGTACCCTTTTGGTAATGTCAGGGTTGACCCCTATCGACTTAGAAATTAAATGCATTATTGGGCAGGAAAAGCTTGGCACCTTACCCTGGCCAGATTAAAGCGACTTGGATGTCGACAAAATGATTAGAGTAGGTAAGAATTCCCCCAGTTTGACCTTGATCAATGATATCAATTATATCAAAAAATTCAGCATTGACAAAAATACCCTCCTGACTTATGATTACCACCCTTCCCATCAGCTTGCCCCTGACGTTTACTTCGAAGATCCAGATGATCATCCCATGTTTAGGATTTACACTGATGGTTCCAAGATGGATGACGATGTGGGTACCGCTTTTGTAGTTTACTCCGACTTGGGCCACAAACTTCACAACACTTGCTTCTGTCTAGTTACACACTGCTCAATAGCACAGGCGGAAACTTTAGCTATTTTTATGAGCTTAATTCACATTAGGCATAGGAAGGACAACAGACACTACTTAAATTATCGCATTTATTCTGACAGTAGGGTAGCTTTACACAAGATTGCGAAGTCTGATAGCCGCTTAAAACTCGTCCATCTATCACCACATTCTCAGACACTTAGACAACAGTAGAATAGATTTCTAATGGGTCCTGGGTCATGAGGGGGTTCTTGGCAATGAGACCACTGACCATCTTTCCAAACAAGCTGCAAAGTCTTCAGTCACTAGTACTTTCAGTTACATTTCTACCTCATACATCAACAATCACGTCAAGAAGCAAATCTTCATTCTCTGGCAAGACAGCTGAGACCGTGACACCATGGTAGGCTCACTTACACTTTCATCCCGAAGGCAGTGATTCTTCGCTACTTTTACCCTAGTTACACCCTCACTTAGTTACTTACAGGACACAGCAACTTGCATAGATTTAACCTTGGGGATAATCCACAATGCTATTCTGGTATTCAGGAAGACCAAACACCACTTTACCTAGTTTTTTGCTGCAATAGGTGCAATCACATTAGGGATAGTTTAATAAGAGTTGCTATTCTTGAAGGGTACAACTAATCTTGTAACCTGCATCAACTCATTCACACGCGTACAATGATCCATCATCTACTCGCATTTATATCTCTTAGTGGGGCCCTTGAGAACACTCACTCTGGAGAAACAAATGGCAATTAGTTTTCCCTTCCTTTGTTTCAACTGTCAGTATATAGCTGCTTTCAACTTTGTATTTTAATTCTTATGTTCCGTCTTCTTTTCGGTCTAAATTTGGTTAGTTTAAGTTAGTCATAGTTGTAAGTTATATTAGGGACTCTTAGCTTGATTTCTGGTTAGGTTCATCCTAGGTTATGGTAGGTTAATCAGTTAGTGAGTAAATTAATGTTTGAAAAAAAATTAAAATTAAAATTAAAAATAAAATAAATAAATTAAATTTAATTAAAAAAAAATAATAATAATAAAATAAACTAAAAAAATAAATAAATAAAAAATTGGGACTTGCGTGTTTGTCTTTTGTCCGTCTGTTTGTCTCATCTACTTTGTCACTGTGTTCGTTTGTTTTTTTTTGTGCTGTCTGTCTAGCTGTTAAGTAGTATTAAGATTTGCACTCACATTCAGTTTTATTAGCATTAACTTCTACACCTAGCTATTCATGGCTGCAGTGAATCATAGGTGTTTGCTTTGTTAAGTTCCATCAAGTCGTCGTCGACTCCTGGTGACTGCATGGACAAGTCTTTCCTTGTCCATGTAGTTTTCTTGGCAAGAGTTGAGGAAGTGGTTTGCCATTGCCTTCTTCCTTGAATGATGTGTCACGCGCGCGCGCGGGGAAAGAATGCCTTCCGGGAGGACTTTTACGGGGAACTGGCCTCCTATTTAGTCATTATTGGCAAGGAGAAAACCCGGAAAACTCCAAGCAGCCAGCCTGTCCGATCGTGGCACGAACCCACGACCGAACTTCCCAGTGTTTAGGGTCCAGTCACCACCGCTATGAGCAGCAACGGAGACCACTCGGCCACTGGTGGGTGCAGGTGTTTGCTACACTCAGGTTTTCTTTTAGACCCTTCAGGGGACTATGGCCTTGCAGCCTAAAAACTGCACACCAACATCAAACATAGAGAGTACTGTAGCCATACGTATGCTGTTCAGAGGGATCCTATCTTTCTCTATCTAGCTCCTCTCCCTTGTTCTTCCCCTCCCCTTTCCCTTACCATCTTTTCCACCGGCTAAACACCTCATGTATGGCCAAAGTCTTTCTTGTATGTATATGTATATACAGGTAATGTACATATGATCCCCCTTTTTTATAATCTGGAGGTGCTGCTGTCTATATATATATATATATATATATATATACTGTATATATTTCTCATTTGATTAAAATGTTAAACTGAATTTTAAAGATATTGTGGTGTTATAGTGAAAACAGAAAATACTGTTTATTATAATTTACTTCACAAAATGATAATATTATATTATACTAGCTGCATGTGCCTGGCATTGCTCACGCTTTTGAAGGAGNTATATTTCTCATTTGATTAAAATGTTAAACTGAATTTTAAAGATATTGTGGTGTTATAGTGAAAACAGA